CTCGTGTTTCTAGAGTTACGTGTTGTTACGAACACGTTAGGAATTGTTAAAATGTGATATTTCTTAAAGGGAGTTTGGTGCAGGGAGCTTTTAGTTGGATTCAAACTGCTAATATGACTTGCTATTGACGTTAACGTTGAACCACACGTCACCAAACCCACTTCATTGTTTCTAGCTATGAAGATGCAGACGTGTTAGAACCAACGTCTCTCATTTACCAACAAAAACTACTGCTAACACGATTCCCTGATGTCCTGCTCAAAAGAATCTCACATTTACCCTCCAAACAGTGCAATTTTATTCTCACTGGCACACGTTGCCTTTAATTTCTAAAGACAATCTTTGCAATTGTAATTTTCTCCCACAGTTCTATTGCAAAAAAAAATGCCTAAAAATATCAACATCAGGCCTTTGAGACTGCAACAATTCCCCAAAAGCATAATTTACTGAATGAACGCCAGGCTGTATGGAAGCAGACTGAAACTAGAGACTGAGACCATAAACTCATCAGGAAACTGTGTGAAGTCGTCTCATTCTCCATAAGACTGCCCCCTACTGGTCATTAGAGAGAATGCAGGTTTAAGACACTTTTCAGACCTGGATCAAAGGTGTTCACGCAGGTTTTGATCTCAGTAAGAGTGTCACAATAAAGCAGTTAAATAACTATATGTCCTGTTAAGTATTGATGCAATTTTTCAATCAAATATTGATCATTTGTTGTCTTAATGAAACAGCTGGAAATAAGGTTGAACATTGAAGGTTCCTCCTGTAAAGCTCACAGTCTATATATTCAAACCTTAATGTGAAGCTGATCTATTAAAACATACAATAACACAACTTTCTGCGTCTGCAGCGCTGACGGACATCAAGCTGTGGGCGATTGACCGACAGGGTTTCCAGACCATCATGATGAGGACTGGTCTCATCAAACACTCCCAGTACACTGACTTCCTCCGCAGGTAAAGCTCTCTCACAGTCGCTCTCCACTATTTGAAGCTCTCCCCACATGAGTGTGACTAACACCTCTCGCTGTAAACTCTTCCCCGCAGCGTTCCCTCCTTCCAGTCGCTACCTGAGGACATTCTCAGCAAACTGGCTGATGTTTTGGAGGAGGTAACACTTTGTCTATTATAAGCACTCAGTATCTGTTTCTGCCATCTGTTCTTTCCATCAAAACAAATGTTCAGAAACATTGTGTTCAGAGATCTGAGGTATTGTGTGTGCACATGATTCACATCTCTCTCCGCTCTTCCTCAGACTCATTACAGCGACTCTGATTATATTATCCGTCAGGGAGCCTCCGGGGACACATTCTTCATCATCAGCGAAGGACAGGTGAGGAAGAGCGATGACGAGAGAATGAAGGACTTGTTAGAAGGTGAAAATAGAGCAATTAATAGAGAGAGGCTGAGGAATAACAGAGACTGACTCACTGCTGGAGCCAGCCTCTAGTGGACGTTAGAGGAACTGCAGGGTTTACTATGTCCGTACCATGGAGGTTGCTGCTGGCTAATTAGTAATAAGAAACACAATATATTACACAAAGCTTTAACTTTGGAGTTTGTGTTGGTATAATGTTAGATAATGTTGCACATTAGCAATCAGCTAGCTAGTAATTATGTCTTAATATAGATTAGCTAGCCAGTAAGCTAGCGAACATTAGCTAACTTCAGATGTGACATATATATATATATATATATATCTTTTATCTTTTCAATCTTCACAATGTGGTTGTCTTTTCAACATAGATTAGCTTAGCATATAGCAAATGTCTAAGTACACACTGGCCTCTATCAAACTGCTTTAAAGGCAATGTGCAATAAATATACCACCACTTTAGTAATTATCACTCTTATTCTTACAGTTTCTTTTGAAGCCGCCATGTTGTCAAATGTATAATGTATAACGAACCTCTCCACGTTTTAAGATGTTTCATGTTGTTTTTTTGATGTTCTATGTGAAGCAACCGACTAACTCAACTCTACTCAAACCGCTGTTGCTCATACCTGCAGTACCACACAATGACATAAACGTGGCGACCTAAAACCTAAAAGAGGTTGTGATCCGTCCGCAGGTGAAAGTTTCTCAGCAGAACCCGGCCAACGACGAGCAGCTGACTGTGAAGTCTCTCTCTAAAGGGGACTGGTTTGGAGAGCAGGCTCTGAAAGGGTGAAACACTCACACACAAATTACAAGAAGTTATTCAGGAATATATTTAAAGGATCAGTCGGCTCAACGTCGGCCCCTCAGCCCCTCTGCCCCGAGGCTGATTATCAGAGAGTTAATATCTGTGAATATAAACTGTGAGCAGGTCTTCAAAGTTAAAGTTAAAATAACAATTTCATTTAGTTTTCGTCACAGAAATTCTGAGATATCTGCTCCTCAGGAGGCTTTGGCTTTTGACATTATTTGATCAACATCTGAAAGTCTAATTAGCAAAGATTCCTCACACTTCATGGATCTGAATATAATGCATTTCATCTGGTATCAGTCTCGTATTTTAGCTTCTTTAATCTCACAAACTGATTTCTGTCTGCAGGGAGGACGTTCGCACAGCCAGCGTCACCGCCGTGGGAGACGTCACATGTCTGGTCATCGACAGGGAGTGAGTGAGGGTCTTTGTTGACCAGAAACATCGGGTTTTATACGGTGGTGGAGTCTGCCGGCTCGCTTTGCTCTCGCTCTTTAAAAGGCATCTTTGTGTTGCTCGTGTGTTTGTCTCAGGTCGTTTAAACAGCTGATCGAAGGACTCGACGGGGTCAACAACAAGCAGTACGACAGCAATGAGGTCAATGCAAAGTGAGTTTGGATTTGGGTCACGTCTACGTCTAACAGAGATCTTACAAGGTCAAACACTTCCAACACGACTCAAGAGACGTAGTGTTAGTTCAGGTTCAGTTATTAATTAATTTAATTAATAATTTATTAAATTAATTACAGAGACTCCTAGTTTTATAACAAACCAAAACTATCTTTACACTGTTTTCACGCATCTTTCACTCACAGTACAAATAACTGTTACTGACTCGTGGTCAATCTGCCGTCACACATTACTGAAGAGAAAAGAAAGGTGATTAAAGTAGTTTAGAGAGTTAAGATACACACCTAATAAAGGGAAATATAGCTTCATCTTTCAAATATTTTCAATATATTAATTAACACCCCTTCAAAGTCACAGAGAGCGCAGAGGAGAAACCACACGAAAGGCCCCGATCTAGAGCCAGTGTTTGATTTGTCCGTTCTGGGCTACTGTAGACTGCGCCGACTCAGTGGTGTTTGTATTTGACCACCGCCGCCTGCTGGTATGGAGACTTATTACTCTGGTTGGACGTCTGCTGTTTGTTCTAGTGTCAGACACAGGCGACGTGAGGCGACGCAACAGTGTTATGTTTTTGCAGCTAGTTGGCGTCGATTTGCAAGTCGGGGCCTTTAAAGGATAAAGCTTGTGATTTAGTTTATATTTTAGTTGCAGTTGATAAATCCCATGTGTGTCCTGTACTGCCTGAAACCTTCTCGCTTTGACTCATTTCTTTCTCCTTCCTTATGTGACCTCCGCTGTTTGCTGTAGACTGCAGGCGGAGACAGATTTCTTCTCCAGCGTGTCACTCAGTGATTTCAACATCATCTGCACTCTGGGGATGGGAGGCTTCAGTCGAGTGGAGCTGGTGAGTGTAGCCGCTGATAATGTTGCGGATACGCTGTGTTACTGTCCGTCTGTACCGAATGTGTGTGTGTGCTGGTGTGTTCAGGTGCAGTTAAAGAATGACGCCAGCCGATCGTTTGCCCTCAAAGTGCTGAAGAAGCGTCACATCCTGGACACCAGCCAGCAGGGCCACATCCTGTCCGAGCGCCGCATCATGATGGAGGCTCACAGTCCGTTCATCATCAGGTCGGACAGCGTTTTTATGTTCCCAAGGATTTATAATTGTAATTAAAAGTACTTTAGAGCATCTAAATGGTGGAAAGAGGTGACTTCTTCTTTGGTGTTCAGTGGTGGAACTACTTCATACTCACTCAGAGGGAAATATTGAACTTTTTACTCCACTACATTTATCTGACACCGTTAGTTACTTTACAAATGAATATTTCTGCACACAAAAACATCCATTTTATAATCTGTCTGTCAAAACTTGAGTTTCCATATGTGAGATTTTGAAGCCTTTTACGTCTTATTTTAATGTATCAATCACTTTTTATTGCCAATGAGTAACTGGTTGTAACGTAACTTAACAAATGAGACTTTCCCCGACTTTCTCGGCTGCCTGTCGACTGATATTGGGTCGGATTTTATGCAAAACGTTACTAACATTACTCCAAAGCTTGTGAAAGACACTGAAGATATTGTCTGGTTATCTGATAACGTTAGGTTGTTTGCTAACACGGACAAATTGTTAGCCAGCTAATGTACTCCATGATTTTGTCAGCTGGTGTTATGAGGGGCTAATGCTGGATTACTTGACTGGTAGCTAACAATAGCTTTCTATTAGCCAAGAGCCTGGCTAGTCTGGTGTTGGTTGCTTCGTGGTGTTGGCTGATGGGCTGATTTGTAAACAGCGAGCTAGTTAGTAGCATATAGGAAAAATATAGAAACATTGCAGATAGTAACGTGTGGCCTTCCTTTAAATGTGATGTTTGAACCTCTTCTGTTTTCCTCCAGGTTGTATCGAACTTTCAGAGACTCCAAATATCTCTATATGCTGCTGGAGGCTTGCCTTGGAGGAGAACTGTGGACGCTGCTGCGAGACAGGGGCTCGTTTGACGACGGCATCACTCGGTTCTACACCGGCTGCGTCATCGAGGCTCTGGCGTTCCTGCACTCCAGAGGAATCATCTACAGAGACCTCAAACCCGAGAACATCATCCTGGACCACCGAGGATACGCCAAGCTGGTGTGGAGACAGATATAACGCCACAATGTGGGTCTGAGGTTTCTCTAAGAAAACATTCATAATGTGAGTTTCTTTTCCAGGTGGACTTTGGCTTTGCTAAGAAGGTGGGTCTGGGGAAGAAGACGTGGACGTTCTGTGGGACTCCGGAGTACGTCGCCCCTGAGATCATCCTGAACAAAGGCCACGACAGTTCAGCTGACTGCTGGTCGCTGGGAATACTGGTGTTTGAGCTGCTCAGTGGCAGGTACACCAGGATCCATTAACACATTCTCAGCACCAGAACATGCTTTTCATCACGTCTGTAACAACCATCAGCAGGTTCTTTATGTCACAGGTTTGGTTCCCCGACAGAGCTGCGCACAGAAACCCGACCCGAGTACCTGCACACTTTCTGAAAACAAATTCAAAGGTTAAAGGTTTCTAGTGGAAGTGGCAGTACAGCACCAGCATCTCAGACCAAAACAATGTCACAAACTCTTTGTTAGGCTTTCCAACAATCACCAACAACAAATCCTTAATTCACAGAGTTAGATAGATAAATGGGCTGTAATAACTGGACGGTAAGGTAACGTTAGTCCTTTGGGACAAATGCAGTATCAGAGTGCGTCCACTAAAAGCTTGTTTTTGATACTGACAGGCTCAGATTGTTATTCTCACCCCCAAATTCCACCGAGGATCGCACAGGCAGGAAGTTAGACACAGAAACAGCCGTGATATCGCTCTCCACCAGACTCCACAAAACAGTCATTTGTTGAATAAATGATGTTGGTTCCCACTCTCAGTCTCTGTCTCTGTCTCCAGTCCTCCTTTTTCAGGCTCTGATCCCATGAAGACCTACAACATCATCCTGAGAGGCATCGACATGATCGAGTTTCCCAAGAAGATCACCAAGAGCGCCGCTAACCTCATCAAACGACTGTGCAGGTTGTAAATCCAGCTGAACCGTGCAGATAAACGGAGGTCTGACTGTCCTTGTGTCCGTCTGTACAAACTGTGTGTGTGTGTGTGTGTGTGTGTGTGTGTTTGACAGGGACAACCCGTCGGAGCGGCTCGGAAACCAGAAGAACGGCGTGAAAGATATCCAGAAACACAAGTGAGACAGTGAAGATGTTTACCTCCAGATGTCACTCATGTGTTTTTCTGACTGTAGTCATGGCAACGTGTCTTTGTCCTTTCAGGTGGTTTGAGGGCTTCAACTGGGACGGCCTCCGGCAGGGAACCATCGGCTCGCCGTTCACCCCCACGGTAGGTATATCCTGCAGTGTGTCGGAGCTCACGGCACACAGAGCGCAGCGTTAACTTCCTGCTTTCTGTCCTCAGGTGAACGGACCGCTGGACAACAGCAACTTTGACTTTTTCCCAGAGGACGTAGACGACCCTCCTCCCGACGAAGAGTCTGGTTGGGACCTCGAGTTTTAGCAGGAAGCGATTAAAGTAAAGGAAATGAGGAAGTGAAGCCATAAAAGAGTTTTTATTTCTTATGAATGTTTCGACTGAGTCTCAGAGCAAAATGAATCTCGAATACAATTATTATATATTAGTATCAGGACCAGTGTGAAGAAAAAAAGAATAAAATCTAAATATTAAAAAAAAAGTATTAAATTTGAGTAAAAAGTCACAATATTACAA